AGTATCTAAGTAATCAAAAGTTGTTTGGGGAGGATAGGATTGAGCCTCTTGAATTTTGTGAAACATGTGTGTTGGGCAAGTCACATAGGGTGAGCTTTGAGACTGGATCACATACCACCTCTAGGCCCCTAGACTATGTCCACTCAGATTTATGGGGACCGGAAAGTCATCCTACATTTGGAGGGAATAAGTACTTTCTTTCTATAGTTGATGACTACTCTAGAAAAGTTTGGACCTATCCATTGAAATCTAAATCTGAGACTTTTCAAAAATTCCGAACTTGGTTGAAGATGGTGGAAAATCAACTTGATAAGAAGTTAAAGACTCTAAGAACTGACAATGGATTAGAATTTTGCAATGCTGAGTTTGATAATTTCTGTAAGCAAAAAGGAATTGTAAGACACAAAACCATTAAGCACACACCACAACAAAACGGGGTCGCGGAAAGAATGAATAGAACTCTAATGAACAAAGTAAGATGTATGCTAATCAGTTCTGGATTAGCGAAAGGTTTTTGGGCGGAGGCTATATCTACAGCTGCTTATCTTATAAATTGATCTCCATGTAGTTCTATTGGATTTAAAACTCCACAGGAACTTTGGACGGGAAGACCCCCAAACCTTTCTCATATTAGGGTGTATGGATGTGCAGCATATGCACATCAAGTTGAAGGAAAATTGGACCCTAGAGCTACTAAGTGTGTGATGCTTGGGTACCCGGAAGGTGTAAAGGGGTACCGATTGTGGATGTTAGGCGTTCAAGGCATTAAAAGCATTAATAGTAGAAATGTGGTTTTCAATGAATTCGAAATGCCATGCCTAAAGAACAAAATTGATAATTCGAAAGAGCAAATCAACGAGACTACTTCACGGAATGAGGTGAAGCTAACAAGGCTAAATCCCACTCAACATGAAAATATTGATGAGGGTGTTCAACAATCTGATGAAAATGTTGTTGACACGGATGAAGGTAAGGTAGGTCCGAGTGAAGTCGAAACTGAAATTGAAAATCCAAATGTTCCCACTATTGAAACAAGTGCTCAAGATTATCAATTGGTGAGAGATAGGGAAAGAAGGCAATTAAACCAAATCCAAGATATGAAATAAATAATTTGACTAACTTTGCCCTATCTCAGGTGAATCTTTAGAGTATTTAGAACCTTCATCATATGAAGAGACTATGAATAGCTCTAACTCTAAAAATTGAAAAGATGCAATGAAAGAAGAAATGAAATCTTTACTTGAAAACAACACATGGAAATTAGTAAAGAAACTCAAAAATCAAAGAGTTGTTCAATATAAATGGATTTTCAAACTAAAAGAAGGGATTGTGTTATCTGACCCTTTGAGATATAAAGCGAGGCTAGTAGCCAAAGGATTTACTCAAAAAGAGGGTGTTGACTACAATGAAATCTTCTCACCGTTTGTCAAATATAAGACCATAAGGTTGGTGCTTGCACTAGTTTTTCAGTTCAATTGGAAACTCGAACAATTAGATGTCAAGACGGCCTTCTTACACGGTGAATTAGATGATGAGATCTATATGAATCAACCTCGAGGGTTTGAGGTGAAAGAGAAGGGAGATTATGTGTGCAAGTTACAAAAATCATTGTATGGGCTCAAACAAAGTCCAAGGCAATGGTACATTAGGTTTGACACATATGTGTTCAAGATTGGTTTCAAAAGAAGTGAATATGATCACCGTTTATACTATAATAACACTAGAGCTGGTAGTGAAGTTTATTTACTTCTATATGTTGATGACATGCTATTGGCCAGCTTTAGTAAGTCTGATATTTTGAGACTTAAAGGGCTTCTAAAATCAGAATTTTATATGAAGGACTTGAGAAACGCCAAGAAAATTTTGGGAATGGTTATCAACAGAAATAGGCAAGATAACATTTTAACTATAACACAAAGTGCTTATTTGAACAAAGTTGTAACCAAGTTTGGCATGAAAGAAGCTAAGAAAGTTAATGTACCTCTCGTAGCCCATATGAATTTATCATTATCTCAGTCTCCTAAAACTGAAAGTGAAATGGAAGAAATGAAAAATATCCCATATGCTAATGCCATAGGATCACTCATGTTTTCTATGATTACTACTATGTCGGATTTGGCTTATGCTATAAGTTTCTTAAGTAGATTCATGTCTAATCCGGGGAAACCTTATTGGGCGGGGTTAAAGTTGCTTTTAAGATACATTGCTGGGACATTAGATGTGGGATTGGTGTTTGAAAGAAGATTTGAATTGCTCATTTTAAAGGGATACGTAGACTCTGACTTTGCTGGTGATAAAGATCAAAGAAAGTCTACTATCGCCTATTTCTTCACACTAGGTTATAATTGCATCACATGAAAGTCACAACTTCAATCTATTGTCACATTATCCAGCACGGAGGTTGAATATGTGGCAATAACAGAAACTGTAAAAGAATGCATTTGGTTAAAAGGAATTTTGGAGGAGTTGAATTTTTTGCAAGTGTCACCCGTTATTTTCACCGATAGTCAAAGTGCTTTACTTTTATGTAAAAATCTAGTTTATCATGAGAGATTTAAATACATTGAGGTGAAGTACCATTTCATATGTGAAAAAATTGCTTGTGGTGATGTTATACTTGAAAAAATTCACACTGACGTGAACCCATCTGATATGGGAGCCAAAATTCTAAATGTAGGTAAATTTAAGGCTTGTTTATCTTTACTACATATTGATACGGGTTAATTTCTTTTGCAGGTACTAAGGGCGATGATGCAGGGCAAACACATAACCGTCACATGCATTGTAGCAACTAGAGAGAACTAGGGGTTTGTGAAAACAAGGTGAAAATTGTGAAATGTTTTTCAAAACCCATTGCTCATGTTTTTAAAAGTGACAAAAATTATTTTCTCCATTTGTTGGCAGCTTTCCATTGGCAACTTATATTTCACAAGGATGTGTGTTTGTTTGAAAACATTATAGGCCATTGATCAAAATGGAGGGCTGAGATTAGCTTAACTTTTCTTTCATTTAATTGATAGTAAGGCTAGTGTTCTGAGCCGGTGATCTGGTAGTTATTTTACTGGTGGCTGGCCGAAATTTTGTGTTTTTCGACAGTGGGTTCTTTGGTCTGTTTGGTCAGATTATTAGACTGTAAATTGATACTACATTAGAGTTCAGGTCAGGGTCGATTAGGGCTAATATTGTGAGACTATTTGTAAAGTCGATGATCTAATTTTTCTTAGTGTAAATCTGATTCTTGTAAAACGCTCTCGTGTTCTCTCTTGGGAGGTTCTTTGCATAGTGACGAGCTTGCGTTGTTTTGCCTCTGAGCCCCCCAGATTAGACTTGGCCAAATTGGGTGAACAATTTGTGCGTTCTTTAATTTTCTGCATGGTTTTTATTCTTATTGTTGCTGCGTATTGGTGATTGAAATCGCACGTTGGGTGAAAAATCCCAACATTTCTATTATATTTAAAACAAATTTGTTGTATCATCAAAATTGTAACATTTGATTTCATACCAATTTGAAGCAGCCATCATGTTATCTATAATATATTAAATATCAAATCAAGTGAGAAATCATTTATTGGACATTTTAACCATACTACAATTCAATTGTTTAAATAATACATTATTTTTTATTTTTCAATATGTAATAATTACTATAAAATCATTGTCATGTATGAATTTCATATTATAATTCTCATTCAATCAATATTCACAATAATCTAGATTCAATATTCATTAACTTAATGAATTTTGATCGATATGATCCTAGAGTTATTATAGATGAATTTATTTCTATTCATGCATTTAGAAATTTTAATAAGTATTTGAATTCATGTATCAGCAATTAATTTTTATATAGCAAATGCAATATAAAAAGGTTGCTCGTTTGTAGTATCTTATCATCATAAAAAAATTGAATCATAAAAGTTGAATTTTGAGACTACAATTTTCTCATGATAAATTTCTTTGCTAAATTTTATTTTTCTTATATTTGTTTGAGACTCATCAAATCTTCCCAATAAATGGGTATCAAATATTATTTTTACAGTATTTATTAAGTGTTTAGAATAATGTGCAATACACATTCAATTCCGATTAGTCTATCAAAAATGCCAACTTGGTAATTAGAGAACAATTTCAAAAATTCTATTTTGCCGGATCCAATAATTCTATATCGATTCCTAATATCAAATAAAATCCCCATTTACGTAAACTATTTTAACGAATGATTTTGTAAAATCTCATACTTAATACTATAAGAGTCGTCTAAAAATTCGTTCAGCTTTATTTTCATTAAGTGGAACTCAATTTAATTAATTCGCAATTAACTTAGATTCATATAGTACTTTTCAAATTTCATTGTACTTTATTAAAATGAAGAGGAACTTAATGTTTATGTATTTAAGGGGAACTTAATTTTTTAAATTCTCAACTTACTAGATTTCATATTCATGTATGTAATTCAAAAATTTTTAAGTTAATTTATTTTTAGTTTGTGTATAAATATAAATATCATGAAAAATTGACCTAAAAATTTCAAAATTTGGTTAAGAAAACATAAAACGTAAGTGTTGCATATACGGTGAGAATGTTGTGTTCAATCATGCATAAACAACATGCTTATTACTGTATACCGTACATGCGTAAGATTACCTAACTCATATGTGGTGTGACAAAACTAAAGTATAGTTATTAAATTTACACAAATTAAAGTATAGGAATAAAATTAAAAATTAGGTCTAATTGGTGTGACCACTAGTAGAATAAACACATTTTTTTAAATTGGATTAAGGTCATGTTTGGCTCACATTCTTTAAAAAAATATATTTTTAAATAGTGATTTGGTATCATTTCAATAATATATTTTTTAATAAAATAATATTATACATAAATTTAAAATTTATTTTTATTTTTCAATTAAATATTTTTTTTATCAATACACTGTTAATAATGCATCAACGTGTGGAGGACTAATGAACACCAAAAATTTTGCCCAATCATTTTTCGTAATGGTAATACACACCTACCGCAGTGAGGGTGAGTGTCGCTTTCTTTCCAAACTTGAATTCAAGGATCTGAAATTGAAAATTCCCATCACAACCACTCCCCATTCTTCTCCATTGACGACAACAAAGATCCCAATAACAACACACAAAAACCTAGACAATCTGTGAATTTGTGATTGTGTTGTTGGGAGAATAACCAAAGGAATAATGGCAATGGCATTCCGCAGATTCTCTTCCTCCATTAAGCCCCTTCGTTCCTCCTTTTATAACACGGTTTACGCATAAACTTCTGTGATTTGTACTGTTACATGCTGGTTGTGCTCATTTTATTGATTTTATGGTATTTTTTTTGTCAATCAGTCTGCTTTCTCCAGTCAGGCTGCTAGCCAGAAGGACATCTCGCGTGTTGATGTATTAATTTGAGCCTTTTTTTATGTTTTGATCATGTTAGTTGTTAGATCTTGTTTTTAACACGAATTTTGATTCGACAGTGGACAAAACAATTGAATGCACCACTGGAAGAGGTGGATCCAGAAATTTTTGACATCATTGAGCATGAGAAGGCAAGGCAATGGAAGGTATTGTATATACATCAATAAATGAGCCTCTTTTGGATCATTTTATTCTTCTTATGAACGTATTGTCAGGTTAAAATTCTTTATTGGATTCATTTGGCAGTTTGTTCCTATTTTAAGGTTTGGATTAAAGTTAATTATGATGTAGGGATTGGAGCTTATACCATCTGAAAATTTCACATCCCTGTCAGTGATGCAAGCCGTTGGATCAGTAATGACTAACAAATACAGTGAAGGGTACCCAGGCGCCAGATATTATGGAGGAAATGAGTATGCCTGGCCGCTTTTATTACGTTGTGTCATTTAAAATTTAGCTAATTGTTATGTAAGAAGGTTATTTTCTACGCAAACATACATATGAATATATTATATTGACCAGTGTGTTGGTATTTTTTCTTACCATTTACCAACAAAGTTCAACAATTGATATATTGAATTTTTTGGGGTTAGAAGATATAGAATGTTGAATCAATATTGTCTTTCCTGCATAGATGTGTAAATATGTTTTATCGGTATTGCTTATTGCTCGTGGACCTTGATTTATCTGTTTTAAGGTACATTGACATGGCAGAGATATTGTGTCAGAAGCGTGCTTTAGAAGCTTTCCAATTGGACCCTGCGAAATGGGGAGGTAAACCATTTTCCTGGTTTATTTAATGCTATTTAGTATGTAGTGTAATTTGACAGACAACAGATTGAGAGCTACCCTTATTTTGATAAATTTATGTCCACTAACCTACACCAGTTTCTGCTATTGAGGCGCTATAAATTAAATTTTGGAGTCACATTGCTCTTTTCTCTTCTATTTTATTTTAGTTTGTTTCCAGGTGGGTATATGGGTCTAAATATGTGTATGTGTACTTGTAAATTTATCTGTGTGCATGGAAATGACTGAATTTTCGCCCTGACCTATATATGTGGAGTTTCAGCGGGAATAGTATCGTTTAATTGAGAGATGAAAAGTTTAATCCTTTTCTGATTGAGATGATCATTCCAAATTTATACCAATTTAAGGAATATCTTGTCAGTATTGAACTTATGATAAAGTTTTGATTAATAATTCATCTTTTAGTGTTTCTCAAAATTGGTTTAGGATTGATCTTCATATATTAGCTTAACTGATGGTGCTTTTGATCTAACTTGAGTTAAAAGGATTATGATCAATCTAATTTACCTTAAACATAATTTTAATGATTCAACTTGGATGATTTGAGTCTTATGATCTAATCTGCATTTTGCTGACCTTATAATTCCTGTAACTTAAAGTGTCCGTTTTAAAAAAATATATATATATATATTGAAAAAAGAAGAAGAAGAAGAAAAAAAAAAAGAAGAAGAAACATTTCCCAGTTTAAACAGATTACTCTGAAAAAAAATTTCGCCTTTTTTTCACAGTTTTACTTTTTTGGTTCATTAAACCTGAATTTATATTCTCAGAGACCTCCAAGATTTAAAGATTGAAGACCACCACTTTTCAGAGTTTTATCCTCCTTTCAAGGTTTTCTTGCTATTTGTCCTACTACATTCTCCTTTTACAAACTATAATTTTGTTCAAAGAAACAGTTCTCTGTTTGCATGATATGCATTCAAAAATGATGACTCGGCTTACATATTATGGAACTTAGCAATAAGGCTACTTTAAGAGTTCTTTTTCAATGTGATACTGTTGGCTTTTGTAGGTTACACAAATTTAGGCTTTGTAGGTGACACAAATTTGGTTAATCATTTCTATGTATGTTTTTGGTATTTTGGTGACTATCATGTTAATAATTTTTTTTGGGAACGATGATTGAACTAAATGTTCTGTATTGCTTTCTTTCTCATTTTGTTGGGTAATAGAAGAAATGAACATGAATGTGAACTTAGGAGCTTTGAATAATTGAATTGCATACAAAAGATGATAAATGGTTACACTTTTTGAAATTTTGTTTATGTGTGAGGAAAATAACTTTGTAGTGACTTTTTTGATCTTTATTATAGTAAAAATATTTTTGAAGCTGCTGCATCTTGTTCTTTTAGCTCCATACAGTGAATTTTGGCAATTATGTGAACATATGGATACAGAAAATAGACAATGGTGAGATGTGGTTTTACATCTCTGCCGCAAAAACAAGTTCCTTGCTCTGTATTACATCTCTGCCAAAAATCAAATGCCTTGCTCTCTAGTTCAATAAGATCATAATTTTTTTTAATGTGAATTTCCCAATGGGGTTACTTCTCTTGCATATAAAATTGTAATTTTATATTTGTTATTGACATTTTTGAATTTCATTTGATTAGGTCAAAGTTCCTTAAGAACTTATGCCTTCATTGTATTAACTTATGATTATCAGATTTAGTCGATTTGCTTAAAGTGGAATAATATTTCTTGGTCTGAATATCAATTTGACAACTATGCATCTAACCCACCATTACATATTTGATTAAAAGCTGAAACTTGGTTAGAATAGGGAAGTCAGAATGAAACTTATGGAAGCTAGGCTACAATCGGTGTTTTTTTCAATATATCTGTTTACTCTTGTTTTAAATATATCTTTTCTTGTTCTATGGGTTCAGCAGTTGCATTAATCAGAACAAGACCACTATCAAATTGCTTTTGATCTGTCTTGAAGGAATTTTCTAGAATAAAATAAGAATTCAACTGCAGAGACAGAGATGGGCTATAAAATGATACGCTGAGAAGAAATTTGGGGATCGTTGACCCTCCATATCTCAGCTAGCTGCATAGTAGCAGTTATCTTCTTCCTGTTTCCGTTTGGCATATGGCTGTGAAGAATGAAAATTGTTACTGAATATACAATAATACTTGTAATATCTGATATTTTTAAAACAGAGCTGATGAAAAAGCAATTTGGTGTCGCTAAATATTAGCTGCTTTTCTTAATTTAGTGAACTGGTTTGTAATCTTATCTCATCAAAGGTAGCACACACATGGTTTTGCAGTGAATGTACAATCTTTATCTGGGTCCCCTTCCAATTTCCAAGTTTATACGGCTCTTCTAAAACCTCATGAAAGGATCATGGCACTTGATCTTCCTCATGGTGGCCATTTATCACATGGTTATCAGGTGATTGTGACTTTCTTAACTTCTGCAAACTACTTGTGCTTTTCTACTTAATAATATATCTTGATTTGCCATTTTAACCTTTTAAATTCTTGTGGGGCTCTGTTTCAGACTGATACAAAGAAGATATCTGCTGTGTCTATATTTTTTGAGACAATGCCTTACAGACTGGATGAAAGCACTGGCTACATTGACTATGATCAGGTGAAAGTCTTTTAGGATGTCTAATAGAAGTTTGAGAAAATATTTCATCATTGTTTGAGATTTGACAAAAAACTGAGACCTATGTTTAAGCTTAGGCTATCACTGTTTCTAGGGGTGAAAAATGTGACATTAGGCCTCTCTCTCTCTCTCTCCCCCAATTTCAGAAAAGGATACCGGAATTGTACATGATTTTTCTTCAGTATCACCCTAACTCTTAATCCTTTCTGGTGAACTCCTTCTGTTGTTGGAAATTTAATAGTTATCATTGCTTTCAACTATTTAATCAGATCTTGAACCATTTTTTAATTTTTTTAGTATAGTTTTTGGTGGCCGAGAGGGGAACCATATAGAGTAGGATATCTGGGAGGAATATATATGAAGAAGTGGATATTTATTTATTTATTTATTTTTTTCCGTTGAAGTAAATTACCATGCCAAAATGATGGGTTTTCTTTAATTAGTACACTAATTTTAAACTGGTTACTTGTCGTAAGACATTTGAGTTTCATGGCCCACATGTGTCAATAGTTGATTCCAAATTTGTAAAATAAATTAATTAATTAAAAATCGAAACCTTTCTAAAAAGGACTTATTCTATATTTCTTTTTTTCCCTTTCTAGCTATCAAAATAAACATTTACTTACTGCAGTTTTGTATAAAAAGTAACTTAGCAGCATTTGCAGGCTTCCTGCTTTTATTTAAATCTGTAACTTAATGGAATCCACTACCTTTTGCGTTCGCACACCATTCCACGCAATCGCCTGAAGACAATATGTGGCTTCACTCTTCTTTGATTATATCACTTAAACCATCAGTGTGGATTCTAAATTATGAACTCCGAAAAAAATATTTTAATGATTATAATGCAAAAAGTTTGCTCTCAAAATTTATGGTACTTTGTCACTAGGTGTCTGTAAGTTTTTCGATATAGATAGCTTATGATTTACACTTCTGACTTGTATTTAGACATATTGCAACTAAGTTTCGTTCTAAGCATTTGTATTGTTCTCGAGAGGAATTATAGATTTCAAGAACTATGTGAAATGACGAGATTCTGTATGTGTTTCCTTTTACACACGCACATAATACTTTTGTTATCAATACTTAATCAGTTTTGTGAAATATGTATGGGGTGGGTGGTGAGAGTGACGCGTGCTTGTAGTATCTTGGGGGCAGTATCACAGTTTATTTGTACCTCCGTTACCTGACTTTTGACCGAGTCTGTTTGACATCACGGCAGCTAGAGAAAAGTGCTACACTCTTCAGACCAAAATTAATAGTTGCTGGTGCAAGTGCTTATGCTCGCCTATATGATTATGCACGGATTCGCAAGGTAAACTTGACTACTTATGCTGCAGTCTTATTATAGACTCTAGGTTGTGTTTCATATCTTTTGTCACATTCTAGAATGTTTGGATATTATGTAATCACTTTTTTTATAATGGATTCTACAGGTCTGTGACAAGCAAAAAGCAGTCATGTTGGCTGACATGGCACATATTAGTGGATTGGTTGCTGCTGGTGTCATCCCATCACCATTTGAGTATGCAGATATAGTTACAACAACAACGCACAAATCACTTCGCGGGCCACGTGGAGCAATGATCTTCTTCAGGAAGGGAGTAAAAGGGACCAATAAACAAGGACAAGAAGTGAGATTCAAATAAAACTGTATTCTTTTATTTCTATGTTGTTGCATCTCCTCCAAGTGTCCTTGATTGCATTCCTTGCACAATCTTTACCCTCCTCGCCTCGACCCGAAATCCCTACAGAGCACGCATGTAGGGAAATATGTACATCATACACAGGCAATTAAAGGATTAAGAAGTTTTAGTTCAGTTCATTATTAAATCAATTTTGTATTTCTGGGAAAAATTTCACTTTTTTGAGTTTCATGTAACAGGTAATGTATGACTATGAGGACAAAATTAATCAAGCTGTATTTCCCGGACTTCAAGGTGGCCCCCACAATCACACTATAACTGCTTTAGCTGTTGCACTGAAACAGGTTAAACTTGCTAAGCTTTTTATTGAAAAGGAGATATTATTGTGTAATTTTTATTGATTTCTTCCTAAAAATCTTATGATTGCAGGCTATGACTCCAGAATACAGGGCATATCAAGAGCAAGTTCTCAGTAATTGCTCAAAGTTCGCAGATGTATTATATTTCGGCCAATTATGAGTTTTCATTTCCTGAATTCATTCATATTGCCAACTTTTGCTTGTATTAAGAATTTAAACTAGCTTCCGATGTTTTATCATATTAACATTCATTTGTGATATCTTTATGTTTTGCAGACTTTGTTAGAGAAAGGCTACGAAGTTGTATCTGGTGGAACTGATAACCATCTTGTCTTGGTTAATTTGAGAAACAAGGTACACTGAACATTTTTGGTCTTCCTATGGTGACCGCTTTTGCTTCTTTTTTGGTTGAAACCAATCACTCAATAAAAATTGTTAATTTTCAAACTCCTTTTGTACTCTTATTATTATTTTTTATTTTTCTTTTCTGAAAATCATACATCTTGAATTCACTTTTTGCACCAAATTGAAGCATTGTAAAGTTGATAAATTTTGTATGTTGCATCTGCTATTTGATTATTTTCTATTGTTTTACTGCCACTTAAGAGCTTCAGCAAAAAAAGGTTCCTTGTTTCGTTTTATATATTTTGACTTGACAATTTTAATTTATTTTTCCAAATAAGCTTTGTGAAATGACTAAGATCATGTTTGGCTAAGCTAAAAAGAAAGTCAAACTTACTTTGTGTAGAATTTGTTTCCAAACATGTTTGGATATGGTACCTTTTCCCTATAGGTAAAAAAGGCGGTTATTTTGATAGTAAGTTTAATTTCAAAGTGAGTAACTTGTTTTCAATTTTGACAGCAAAATATTTATGTTCTAAATAATGTAGCATGTGCAATTGACCACTTTATACTCTCTGCAGGGTATTGATGGCTCCAGAGTTGAAAAAGTTATGGAGGCAGTGCACATTGCCGCCAATAAAAATACTGTTCCTGGGGATGTATCTGCCATGGTGCCTGGAGGCATTCGTATGGGTAAGCCCATTCCTCAATAAGCATCTTATACACTTTTTGAGTTTTTATTACTTCAAATTGAGTTTTTTGTCGGGTAATTTAGGAACTCCGGCTCTGACATCAAGGGGATTTGTTGAACAAGATTTCGTTAAAGTTGCTGAATTCTTTGATGCAGCCGTTACAGTTGCCCTGAAGATCAAGGCTGATACAAATGGTTTTTGATTCTGTCATCTTTATTTATTCCTCCATAATTATATTGTGGTGTATCTTTTAATTTGTAACCAGAACTTTCAAAGTCCATCTAGTTTTATACTTTATGCTCTCTTTGATTAAAATATTCAGGAACAAAGTTGAAGGACTTTGTGGCGACAATGAAGTCAGAAGCTTATCAATCTGATTTATCTAAGTTGCGCTATGAGATTGAGGAGTATGCAAAGCAGTTTCCTACTATTGGTTTTGAGAAAGATACGATGAAGTACAAAGACTGAATCAGGCCGGATTTTCAGACAGGGTAAATTGAGTTGGCTAGTAACAGGTTTCGTGCTTCCCTTTTTTTTTTTTTGGTCATTAACTGTGCTAGATTTTGAATGACAATTAGTAATAGATGTTATTTTCTTTCCAAAATTAGTGGATTTTGCTGTGCTTTTTATGTAATGCCTTCTTAAACTACCATATCTGTTTCTTTTCTGCCAGAAAGATTGATAAGGATAATGTAGATATCTTCTAGCTTATGAGAAAATAGTTTGTTGCTCTGCTCATAAGGTTTCAGTTATTGACTGTGAACTATATGATTCCTATCAAGTCATACAGTAACAAACAGGAGTTTATATCCTCCAAAGTTGAGAAGAATTTGAAATGTTATAATCATATAAAACAATGATTAGGATTGTTAAGGTTTATATGGTGGTTAGTATAGATTATTTGGGTCATAAGGATGACTTATATCACTGTGCTGCAAGGACACGAGATTTGTTCTCTATTTGTTTTTAATACCATTTACCCCAGAAGTTTAGTTGTTTTGAGCTCTCTAAATGTCAAACGTGAATTCAGAATCTATTTATTGTTGGGGTTTGAGACACTGTTCGATGAACAGCTAGTAACACTCCTTTTGTTTCTACAGATACGATGCATCAAGGCATTTTGACACTGGCAGTGACAATGAAGGTTTGAAAGCTTAGATTTAATCTATAATGGCTTTATCATGTATAGATCTCTCTCTCATCTAACTTGATGCTAATAAAGGTTTTTTTCCCTTTTTTTAAATCTCAAGTTTTAAATAAATCATTTGGCGTGTTTGTTTCTTTTTGTGTTGAGTACCAATTGTCTGTTTTTTAAGGGCGTCTTGTCTCCATGTTCAAGATGGGATGGGGTGGTTGTTAGGTTGATGTCCTTTTTCGAGTAGTATTTTGTAAAACGATATTATGAATTAACGTTCGATTATTCAATTTGAAACTATTGTTTAAGGTTCCATGATCATATAGGATGTTACAAATTGTATACTCAATGGTTATAGTAAGATGCAATTTGTGATATGATCAAAATATGTCGTTCACAATCAGTACATAAAGTTGGACACTTTATGTTGATAAGATTGCATTGTTTTTATTAAGATTTGTCTAGATTTGGAAATAAGAATAATAATGTGTTTTTTGATGCACATTGAATGGGATCGCGTAGATGACTCATTTGTGATCATTTGAAATGAGACTCTACTCAATTAGCAAATAAGTTACCTAAATCTTGTGTGAGTAATGTTCGTTTGATTGCTAGTTCAAGTTCTTTGAGGTACCAATGAGTGATATCTTAATTAGAGATTGATCTCGGTGCTTTGAGAATTGGGCCGAAACAATTATAGATCTTATACTTGTGATAGTAAAATCTGTTAATTATCGAGATGAGACGATCGTCATTTTAAGGCATTTTTTATAAGCAATTGAACTTGAGCTGAGTAGTCCGATGATAAGATCGTTGGACTTTATATTATGATTTGATTACAATGAATTTGCCTTACGAAAATAGAATTTAGAGAGTAAAACATGTTGAAGAGCAAAACAATCACTTTGTCATTTTGACGGTCAAATGGGGGTTGACTTGTGAAACATGATCGAAGGATATTGTCGGATCAAAATTTGCTTCTATGGTTGTCAATTAACTTGAAAGTACAATATCGATTTTTGGGCATAATGAGCTAGATTTAATAGATATATTTTAATTGGTCAAGAGTTGACTTAATTATAAACATATATTGGAGCTTGAGTCCTATGAGTTCGGTTAGGTCCCTTTCTTGATTCAAATAAATGTGTGTGACTTAATTGATCTATTGCAATAAAGTTCAAGAAAATTTGTATAATTATACATGTGGCCCTCCTCTATTTGAGGGGGGTGTAAAGCCGTTGTACACAATGGTGTACACACAGCACAATCCTTATAAATATGCCCTTTATGGGAAATATTTTCATTTGATTTTTAGGATTAGCCACATTTTTATTTTCCAAAGAGAGGCACCTAAAGAGCACAAGGGAAAAGATCTAAGGAAGAAGGAAGCTATTGGCTATGCCATTAAAGGTTTCTTCAAAGTTATCATCTTCCCTTTGTATATGAGGATTTAAAATATCCAATGATCTCAAGGTGATCTAAGATCCTTCATTTATGTGGGTTTAATCTATAAAAGGAAAAATTTCCTGTTGTTATGATTAAATCCAATAATCAACAATGGTAGAGCTTGAATTTTGTGGAAAAAGGCTGTTGGATCAACGCCAACATATGCATTCATTTTATATTATCCTTAAGGATGCAAATGCAAATACAGCTATTCTGTCCAGCAAGCTTTTTGGTGAAAATGAAATTTGAAACCTACTCAACAATTAATCAAATGGGTTCAAAAGCAGTTTTTGAATCTCAAAAGTTTCTTTTGACTTATTAAAAATCATGCCAAATGGGCATAGAAAATAATTAATAGCACTTTTTTAAGGTAGTGCGGTTAAAAAATAGTTAATCCATTCACACCATAATGTAATGCAATAGCGATGCATGAAAATACTGGCACAGTTCGAATCCTTACCACCCTGAAGGACTACGCTATCGGCCACATTGTGGTGTGCTTTTCCGAAACACACATCATAACATATAATGAGATGTTGATCATCCAATTAAATTTCTGTGATGGCTGTGAGCAATCACATTGGTTTTATGTAGACAAAACCACTAAGAAACTGGTGAAAAATTTGTGCATGATCAATAGTAGTGGCAATGGCTCACGATTTGGCTCTGTTGCCCAAGAGCTTATCTAATGACATGCGATTTCGATATATTTATTTTGCAGTAAAAATGAGCGTCTTGCTAGTCCTTCACGTACATTAATGCTTCTAAAATATCTTTTTTCTGTCGGCTCCTGACCTTAGATAGCCCTCTTATTTGTACTAAAAACAGACTTCAAAGCTATAGTGCTAATTGAAGGTGTTAGTAGGTTTTTTGAAATCGCAGAAATAATTGGTCCTCGTCGTTCGTAGTTTCACAAGAATTCAATTACTATGTTTTTAATTGTTTTATTATTAGGCATATTATGATTAAAGCAATCAATTAATTCCGCAGACAATGCATTTGTACTAGCATCAGATGTCCGATTACATGCGGTAGACATACTACTATTAGAGAAACCTACAACACTTGCATCATATTCATAAGTATTAATGTTTTCAAATAAATTTAATATTTCAACATCGTCTTCTTCAATATCAACGTGAGGAGTAGGTGTAGAGAGTACTCGATTAATATTTGTATCCATTTATTCTGCATATAATTTATACATTTCACAAAAAATTTGTTCTAAATTTCTATCAATGATAAAAGATTAAAAGTTAAAGCTTTTCAAATTTGATCAATTACATATTTAGTACTTGATAAATTGTATCGAGGTTTATGATGCATGATAAAAGAAATAACATAGACAAGTTTTCCTAATATTTTCTAAACTTTAGTTCCATAGAATATATAACTTTACTAAAATCTGGGGTCATTTTTGTGTTTATAAAAAATCCTTGCAATTATATAAAGAGGTTCAAGTACCATACAACTAATAGGATAATATACTTCAAATAAAATATTTGTAGAGTCATAAAAATTTGTCAATATTTTAAAAAAAATTTTAAAGCTAAAAGCCAATCGAATTCGTTCAAAATAGTATCATCATTGTTTCTAACATACATATTGTTATAAAATTCAATTATTAAATGTCCAAACCTTTCGTGTGATTTTAATAACAAGTAGAGTCCCATTTATGTCATACGTCAGCACCAAATGTTCTTTGTATTAATCATCCCAAATTCAACACAAAATTCCTCAAAAACTTGTTTTCTACTAGCTGAAATCGTGATATATATATATATATATATATATATATATATATATATATATATATAGATGTATATCAAAAGAAAGACATGTATAAGCACACGGTTGTAGAGAAAGAAGAGTGTTGAAATCAGGTAAATTACAGAATCCATATTTATGCAGTGTAAAAGGAATATTACTTTATACCTTAAAAAAAAGGTTTATAAATACTTATACATGTGGTATTGGAATTTAAAATAGGAAGTCAATTTCAAACAATATAAATTCTTGAAGCAGCGAGAATGATTTTTGGAGCGTGATTTCTTTGGTTTTGTCTTCCAAAAATCAAAACGATCTAATAAGGTAGGATATTGAGGTGCAGTGTTTTTTTATTCCCGTTTAAATATTTTTTCATGCTGATGAATTTTATACTCATGAAAGTTAAATTTATGATATGATATGCTATGCTATGATGTGAATGACATGGCCATTCCGGTACAACAATATGATATGATATGAGCTCTTACTGGATTTAAAGATATGGGACCGTATGATTTTCTAATGCATGTTTTAAAATTATTATATGGGATCGTACCATTAATTTTTATATCCTACTGAGTATTCTCATGTACTCACCCTTTTCCCTACACCTTACAAGTTAGATCGGGTCGTGTCGGAGCATGATGGTTCGATTGAGTGGTTGTGCCTCATCCTGCTAGACAAAAATCTAAAATTTTAGCACATAATTTTATTTCTTTGTCATAGACATTTATTTTAAAATTAAACTATCGTTCATGTTTATTTGCTACATGGATTTTTATTTTAGATTATGTTGTTATTTAAAAGTGAATCGAATTACTTGATTTTCTTTTAGTGCTACTTATATTAATAAAAGTAAAATTTTATTTAGAATTAATTATATAGGATAAAATGAAATATACGCATGTATGATTATTGCAGAATGTGGTGGAATTGGCCATATACTCGTATCCATTTATTTATTTATTTTATCCAAAATTTTCTGCCATTAAATCTGCCCTTTTAGTAATTAATCCATGTCAAGTAATAAATGTTTGACAAGACTAGATGTAGTGTGTGAATTTTTCCTCAATAAAATAAGCCAACTTTTGGTCTTGGTTGCATTCGCACAACTTGGAACGGCATTGAAGAAAGAGAAAAGTATGTCATGCCTTGACTTTGGGTTATTTTCTCATATATATATATATATATATATATAAAAAGAGAGAGAGAGAGAGAGTATTCATTACCGCTTATCTATACAGATATATATAGAGTTAAATGGTAATTATTTTAACACGTGTAAAAAGGTTTTGTCTCAAGCTAATTAAATTTATAAATTTAGTTGCCAAAAATCCTATCTTATTTGACTTCGAAGGATGTGCCAGTTAGGAATTTAAATTCATGAGTCATAAGTGGTTTAAAATAACATTGACCATTTTATAAATATATCTTTTGGTAGCGCCTCAAATCTTTAATTTTTGGATCGTTACAATTTGGTATCAGAGCATAGGTTTAATTTCGTACAGATCCACGTGTGTTCTCATATTTGGTTTTAAAAAAAAAGAATAATATTTATAAAATTTATGACGTGAACAGTTTGAAACCATTTGAAAAAAAAATAATTGGGATGTGAACAGTGACGTTACTGTTCACGGTGAACAGTGATGGGTCACTATTCAAACCATGAACCGTTTAATTTTTTTTTTGAAAGTGTGATTGTTTAAATAGTTTATGTGTGTATGTATTTAGAGACTTTTTAAAAATACTTTCCTTAAAATAAATTCTATGTTTGGCCACAATAATCACTAAATTATTTAGTTATTAGATTTTTCTCAAATGGGTAAAATATTATAACAGTACATGCACTAGTATATAATATTTTCTAGTAGCTAAAATTTCGATGTAATTCCCCATATAAAAAAAATTAATAATACTAATACTAATAAATAAATAAATAACAACAATAACAACAACAACAATAATAATAATAATAAATACTAAATAAATAAATTTTAATGATATATATATATATATATATATATATACATTGAATTTTACACGTTTTAAATGTTACATGTAATAAAATGTTTATTTGTTTCATTGCGTAATATTTGTTAAAG